TGGGTCAAGTACTAATTTCATGTTTTTTACGATTACTGTTTAGTCTGAAAGATGATCATGATTAGGTTGGTGTAATTTTCGTTTATCCTTAAGAAACATTATTTTTATTAAAAAAAATGAAGATTTGACTTGGACTAATGATATTCCAGTAGAACTTTGACAGTCAGTGATTTGTTGCATGCGGAGACAAATAAGAGGTTGTTTTTCAAGTGTAATCCATTTTCATCAATATAACTAATCAGTTTCAAAAAAATAATTTGGAGATCGGGCTTTTTAAACAGTTTTTATCATTATTACTACGATTTCTCAATGGTATACCTAAAATCATTATATATTTTAATATCTCATAGATACAGAGAAATAGCTATAGATTATTACATGCAGGATGTTGATAGATGGCGTGATTGATTTAATGTTTTCATGAAATTTTCAAAATAATTCAATCTTTTGAACTTATTAGAAGTACAGATTTCATTTAAAAACTTTGTATATGTGTATTTATGTATACGTTTGTTTATGGAATAATCACACTACATTAAAAATTAGTCCCAAATTACACTTAGTTAAAGGGGTAGAATTTTTATGAATGGAGAATTAGTACATATACTTGCATACATGTAGGCATGTGTATATGTGTCAGTGGTCATAGTTACACGATAATGTTGGATATATTCACAATGATTCCTAATCATTTGTTTATTTATCATGAAATCGAAATTCTTTGTCTCATTATAAAAAGTAATCGATTATTTAATAAACAGTAAATAAAGATTGCATAGAATAATGAATAGGGACTTTGTAATGAATTCACAGTTATTATCGTTACTACAGGAGGTTTGCGGGAATTGTTTAATTTGAAGTTGTTTTTTTACCTGGAACTGGTTTTAGCTAAATAACCAACGAAAAGTAAGGGGGAGTCGTGAAACAACTGCTTCGTCCTAGTATGGGACTCGACCCATCTTGAGGTTAAACTCTGGACATTCATATTTTTAACTTTTGTTGATCTAAGATATTCAGTGACAATTATCCATTTCTACTTAGGATACCTGTCTAACTCCCAGCGTGTTTGGATTGCGTGGGTTAAGACTTCTCATTGAGACTTCCAGGAGTCTATTCGAGTTTAGTCACTAGTGTACGTGTGGTTATTATTAACATGGGATGTTTATAGAGATTGTTTACTTTGAAGTCAATTTACCTTACAAAGTGAATTCGATGACAAAACTAATGAAAATCAGAGTGGCATTTAACAACTGTTTCGTCACAGTTTGAGACTCTTTATAAGTGTTCGCTAAAATGATGTAAACCTATTAGAGCTATTGCATATTTTGTAATCGTAGAAACAACTGGATAGAAATGAAGTATTGAAGATGGATCGGACGAATTTAATATCCTTTTCCATGATAATTTAACCCAGTATTTAAACGAAAATTATTAAGATCGAACAAATCAAAAATTTAGTCATAACCAACTTAGAAGCAACATTTGAATAAAAATGGCCTCAATAAATTCTCCACTAGTAAACTGTCGTCAAACTTTATCACCTAATCTAAACTAAATTTAGGTGTTAAAAGTAAGGCAGAAGATTTTGACGGAGTTTTGTTCTACCTAAATTTTGTGCTGATGATGTCGTTCAGAAGAATGATGAAAGCTCCACGACCAAACCATCCGGCTTAGAAAACAAAACTCCATCAAAATCATCCACTTGAGCTACAAATCTTCTCCACCATCTCAAAGGTAGAAGATAGAACTAAACTCAGGGCTGATCCATCACATGTTATTCTCTCTTATGATTACTACCATTTTTATTATTATTATAGTTTCGTTATTAGTATCACTACTATTAACATTAGATATAAACACTTTCAATGAGATACTTCCCTAAATTTTTGGTTCATGTGCGCGTACGTGTGTATGGTATTCTATTGTCAATAAATGTCGATTATTAGTAAACAAATCTAAATTTCTATTCGGATAACTTGTAGAAGAGTCACATAGATCTTGAAATGATTAAAAAAAGAATCAACTTTCTTTATCACATATGATTTCATAAAACAATCTATTTGTTTATTGAGACATGTAAATGTTTTTCTATTCATCTTAGCTTTGATATTTTAGTTGTAAAGATCATTATCGCTATTATTTAATAATGATATTATGAATTGTCATTATTATTGCAAAACAAAATTAGAAAATCACATTCATGATCAAAAATTCAAAATACCGAAACAAATGTCACAAATAGATTACTATCTATCACTCAATATCGTTTATCTCTCTCTCTCTCTCTCTCTCTCTCCTTTACTCTCACACTTTCTCCATTTTGTATATGCACAAAAGAAGATGTCAACTATCACAAATAAACAATTCAAAAACAAGCGCATATCTGCATAAATGTAACAAATGAAATATATATATATATATATATATATATATATATATATATATATATATACCCATATTTCCAATGTCCAATGTTCAAAGTTGTTTAATCCTTCTTTACCTTTTTTCACTTTGAAGTGTTGATTGACGAATATAACAACAAATATAATTTTTTTTCCAACTAATATACTTAAAATAAATGTCTAAATCTAGTTCATAAAAATAATACCATCACTATTATTATTATTATCTCATATATGATATTTCAGTAGTAAAGTGTATAATGAAAATAATACAATGACTATTACTATTAGCTATCTGTAAAGTTTATGTAATAAGTAAGATTAACGAAGATTAAATAAATACAAAACAGCTGTCACCAATTTCATGATATTTTGTTTATATGATGTATTCGATCGTAATACAGAAGATTAAACTGATTGTCTAACGATATATATATATATATATATATATATATATATATATATATATATATATATAACTGAATTTTCGCAGAGATTTTGCCTACCTCTCTTGCTTATTAACAATCCAAATGCTTACATGCCTAAAAGTATGGATTATGAGACATTTTCAATAATTCTTGATGAATACCATCACTGGATAACATGAATCGTGGCTTCACAATAGGTACAATTCATGTTTTTTTTACTTTGAATTAATGAAATAATGTTATGTACTGGAAAATGGATTTATTTGTTTGAATGAGATGTCATTTTCTAAGTATTTATTAACCACTTATTGAACATCTACTACTTGAATTACTCAGATGATGATAGAGATTTCTATAGTTTGGATATAGATTCTTATTAACAAACTGACATTCACTGGACAATAATGAACTTCACCTAAAATTCTTTTGATTGATAGGTGTAACAATTTTTCATGGACGACCACTTACCTAGTATTTTTATACAGTCGGACATTTTTTACTTCTAAAAACTTGATAATACTATATTTAAATATCTTGCAATAAGGTTCAGGTTTCTTTTATGGAAATTCGACATTAACACCGTTGGATCCCCTCTCAGTGGTTAAAAGGTTAATGGTTTGTATGCGAGGTCCTTTGTACGATTTCCGCTTGCAAGGTCGTAGATGAGCGCTGTTAAGGAGTCAGGTACTAGGAAGAAATGGTTGTCTAGTGCTTCTAGGTTCTCAATGTTGGTTCATCTTAGATCGTTTCATGATATCAATAACACTGCTTTTCAGTTTATGATTCAGTTTGATGAAACTATGCAACGATGTTTCGATCTTAGTTTGGAGAGTCTAGAGTTAAATGTTTTATTCATCTGTAAATAGAATAATTAAAATCATAATATAAACCCTTAGTTGCTTCTGTCTATCTATCGATAATCGACTTTGTAACATATCTACAATAAATCAGTTATTAAACTTCTTGTATTCACTGAATACGGATTCATGTAGACATTAATTACTAAGAAATGATCACTGACCTATATCTACCTTATTCTAAGTAATAACTAAACTGGATTAAAAAACGTAACTCAGTCAATTAGTACGTCTGAAATGTTATATGTATGACTTGATAATATAAAAGCTAATAATTGAAATTTATTGACATTGAGATGGAATTGACATAGTCTTCATAAACTGAATGCTGTCGAAAATTTTAAAAATATGTAGTCCAAATATCGTCAATAAAATTTAACAATGATTTCGATATCAGTCACCATGTATAAAGAAATATGCGAAAGTTTAATGAACATGCTATTGCAAAGAAATTAACTGTATATAGCAGAAATATTGATTAATTCGAACTTGCAGTTAAAAACAGTGTCCCATAGTGACATGCAACTTGTTCCTAATTATCATTTATTGTTCTGATCAGTATTTTTCGTTCCGTTTTCCTTATAATATTCCTTTCTAATCTTGTTGACTAACTTTAACGATATGTTAAAATGACCTATAATACGTTAATCTTGACATTTATTGACTGTTTAGAAATATCACTTGAAGGGTGACGGTAAACTCATAAAAAAGAAATAATACACTTCACAATTAAATATTGAACAACTTTATTGTGTTACTGTAGAATATATAAGGTTTGTATGCGGTAGGCATATTTTAATTGCATTGTCTAATTCAATTGATACTTTGCTGTTTTTATTACTGTCATAAACATCTTTTAAGGTATTTATCTTATTTATTGTCTAATCCTACAACCAACTTTGTCCAATTTCCAATTATTCTTAGTTGTTCTTATTTAGATAATTACTTAATTATTATTCAGTTTTGATAAAAGCAATAGGGTTAGTTTGTGATATAAACTATGAAAATGATGACAAGTAACTGGATGTGAATAATAATAATAATAACGAAATCTATCAATGTTTACTGAATCAATCAAAAACCCTTATATTCAGTTAACTATTATCTGTGGTAAACTTTGTCAGGTCATCACCTTTGAATGCAAAACAACTATCTATATCATAAACTCTTCAAAACCATAGAAATATAAATTCAATAGAATGTTTTCCTTCTATAATTAATCATAATTATGAGTTTCTTTTGTTTTGTCACAAAACAATAATGTTTTTTAAAAAAATTATTTTTTTAGTTTCATATAAATAAAGAAAACTGCGATGCTAATGAATATTAATAATTTCATGGGAACAATTATGCCAAAAACGTCAACACCAACAAAAGAGTTGACTGGAACTGATTATACCGATGGGTCATCTGGTCACGATATGATTAAAACCGATTTATTAAATTCTTACACAAACACTTTGTCGTCAGTTGCTAGCTCTAAGAAACTTACTACTAGCAAAAATATCAGTAGCTATAACTGTAACAGATCAATTTTAAAAGATAGTGAAACGGAAGCTTCGGTAGAATGCCTGTCAAAGGATGAATCTTATCATAAAACGGACTACAATAGTGCTGAATTTTTACAAGGTTATACACTTATAAACAATCAAGAGAATCTTGAAGCAAATGGGTTGAAAATGCGTCTTTTAGCGACGCTCGCTGATATGATTCCACATGATGAAAGTTTAAGTTTACGTCTACTGATGAGCTACACAATTGATGATCAAGAAAGTGAATGTGTTGTTATTGATGAAACACTGTGTCGAGGGGGGAAGCGTAATGAAACCAACAATAATAGTTTTCAAAATTGTTTAGATAAACCAAAGAGTAAGAGTGGAATTCATGAAATGCTACTCAATGAAAAAAAGCCTATATTGAGTGCAATATCTCTTGAACATTCAACTAGCCAACAAAGTACTTCAAATGAAGCTGATGCATTAGACTTATCTCTACATAATGAAACATCTGATTTCATGGACTATCATATAGATTCTTTGAATACAAAACCAATAAAACAAGATTATACGTCACAAGCAATTATTGACGGTGTAATTAGTGAAACAAAATCCCCATGTTGTATACCATCGAGTTTGTTATCATCTAGCCTTGTACAGTCCAATATGAATTCGACAAAAGCTTTGGATACAGTTGTGGCTACAACATCTGCAACTAATTCGATTAATCAAATTCCATTATTTGATACGTCTATATTAGCATTACTTCCATTGTTACAGCAACAACAACAGTCTCAACAAACACAGCCAAACCAACAAAGTACAAATACATTAGCATATCAAAATGTTTTAAACCCAAGTTCATTGTCATTGCTCCCTGCCACTATTCCTACTTCAATGACAACAATAAGTGCAACGAAATCCAATCCTATCACTTATAATTATACAGGTATGTCGACAAATGCCAATTTGCTATTCAATCAATTATATCCAACACAATTGCAACAAAATATTCAACAAACCAATAATTTACTTACAACACATTTGAGTAGTATAATACCAAAACAAACAGAAACAACGACAACAGAATCAACTTCGACAGCAGTTTTAAATACAATCGCAGGTTCATTAACAAACAATGCAGTTAACACCCAGTCGCTTTTAAATACAGCATCTGTTATAGGATTCCCATTAATAAATCCATTTTCACTTCATACAAATATTACTAGTAATAGTAGTACCAGTAACAACAATGGTAATACTGATCAATTTAATGCTTTCCTACCATCTACATCATTTCTCGGAACAACATCAACATCTACACTTTCACAAGCATTACTGACGCAATCAACACCATCATTATCATCATCACCATCGAATATTACATCAATAAGTTTAGGATCGACAAATACCACTGCTACATTATTCAATGTCAAAGATAAGCAAACAGGTTTAATTGAAACTGTAGGTATAATGCCAGGTATAAAACATTTAAATCAACCAATTGCATCATTAATCAACCAATTAACTCTCAATGCTTCGTCTAATAATAATAATAATAATAATATTTCACTTAAAACACTCTCAACATTATCCCAACTATTTAATAGTAACCTCCTTACAACAATATCACCTCATAATTCTACAAATCATAATACTACTAATAATAATACAAATTCTACAAATTTCAATATAGTAAATAATCTAACTATACCAACAATAGTAAATACCCATATTAATAATAATCATATTTCTCTGGATAATGGAACAATGAATGATAATGAACTAATAACAACAGAGAAAACTCATATTAAATCATCTTCAAGTGCAAGCATATTATCGAATAGTTCTAGTCCATTATATTCATTAAATAATCATTCAACAGATAAATTTTCAAAACTAAATTCAACAAAAAATCATAAAAATGAAAATATGAAATTATCAGTGCAACAAAATCAACAATCTAACACCACAACTACTACTACTAATACTACAACTGCTAATAGTAATTTTTTATTTGGTCGAAGATTAGTTCTTAGTCGTCGTTTTATTTGTAATCAATGTCGTCGTAATTTTTCATCATTAGCTGAATTAAATCGGCATACAATTGAAGCGCATAATTCATTTCGTTGTACAATTTGTTCAGCACATTTTACACAAAGATCTAATCTACAACGACATTCATTGAAACATGTTGGTTTTAAACCATTTACATGTAATCTATGTAAAAAAGAGTATTATCGTAAAGATCATTTAGTTAGACATATTGAAGTAACACATCCAACACATGATCCTAAAATGAATATCACTGTTCATTTAACATCATCAGAGTGTTTAGATTATTTGGATAGATTACAGGCTGGAAAACAATCACAATCACCATTATTACATCATAATCAACCGGAGAATAAAGAATCAACATCTAATTTAGGTTCAGATGTTACTACAAATATTACTACTACTGCTGCTGCGATTACCGCTACTACTATAACTACGGGTAGTAGTAGTAGTAGTATTAAAAACAGTACTGCTTCTGACCTATGCAATAAGAATAGTATTTACAAAGACGATTTTGATTTAATGAATGAAGAGTCCATGAAAATTGAAGAGGCTACATTAGAAACACCAGATATTGAAATGAACGGAGACAATGATATCAATAATAGTAATAATGACGAAGATATTGAAGAACAATATTACAGTATGACCGATTGTAATGAAATTAGTTAACTACAATTGATTAATGAATTAAAAACAAACAGTCAATAAATGTAAAAAAAGACTTGAAAACTATTTCATCGAAATTTCCATTTTCGTGTGTATTTACTTGCACAACATGCATCTGATAATGCACCGGTCTCTGCGTTATTACAGTTTACTAATTTCTCAAAAACATCGGAAGTTAGTTTCTTTTTTTCCTACTGAAATTGCATTTATGATAAACATTTAATGTTGTGAATAACATTGAAATCTGTCAGTTACCTTTGAAATACCATTCAGCATTATTATGTATTTATTTAGTACTTATATAAAGGGATATATACTATTGTGCAGTTCCACTTTTCCAAATGTTTAACCAATTACAAAAAGAAGTGAAATGGAATAAATGAAATGAATAATAAACAGTAAATCTCAATCATGTTAGTTCCTGTGATTAATTAATTCTTCCAATCTTTTTTTTATGATAAAGCTCTTTTTATATTGTGTTTCATTGGATAACAAATAATTCATTTTTATATATACATGCAAGGTCGGTTTGAACGATAACGTAGACCTTATTCAACATTCCATAATAGAGAACAGAGAAATGAATTTGGATGATGAAAAATTTGACAGAGTATGTTATATTAAAAGTGGATTTTTTTTTGTTTCTACTTCTTATTTGTCTTTTCCATACACAAACATGTTTTTTTATAAAGTTACTTTTTTGCTTTCATTTAATGAGTTTGTAATTTGTCTTTTATATTTTATTGACAGTTACTTCTATCATTCCTAAATGCTATTTATGTTATTACCACCATAAAAACCAACTGATTGTATCGATATTCAGTATTGTCATATCTAATTCATATGTTTTACGCTCAATAATTCCGCTTTATGAAACAGGTTATTTAGTAGTTCGTAATGAAGAAAACATCAATAGAGAAGTGACTATTTTAGACTGATATCTTTGATATTAATGTCATTTTAAATTGACGATTTTCTGGGAGAAAAAGAAATGTAATTTATACCTGTTTACATGATACTAGTATGAAGTGTCTGTTAGAATATACCCTAAAAGGTTAGTGTTTTGTTAAAAAGATTTATATCTTGTTAATCATTTTAAGTAGCACATTTACGGAAAACTGACTAATCACTGAGTGGTGACTTAAGTCATGTTTATCTAGACCTTAGTGTTGATTGAATATTACAATGTGATCACTAGTCTAAGTGACTCGATATAGTGTGGGCTGTTGTGTTAGGTGGTTAAAGGCATTCGACATGAAACTCCAGACCCAGGTGTCGTATTACTTATCACTCATCAGCAAGGTTCACCTGATGTTTCTCGATGGATAAGAAATCCTTACCACACAGCTTCAAAACTCAAGGCATTACCACTGAGCTATTCAGGCAGTGACTGGCCTTTTTTTAGAGCTGAAATGGTCATGTTGATTAATCATGGAATAGGAATCAATATCATGCTTGTTCAGATCAGGGTTTTCAACCGACAAACTTTAACCACCTAAAGAACGGTTACGGAAGCACTTACAGAATAAAATTAATTCATTATATTTTAACGAATCGTACATTCTAGAATCAGAGGTTGTTTAACTCCTTTTTTAAACAGCTACCTGAACGCAGATATCATATTAGGCGCACTGCAAGTACAAAGTGTTATTAATAAAGTACTGATATACCCAATTTATTGATGAAGCTAATAAATAATTATATGATCTTCAGTGTTAACAATGCCAATGAGTGTAAGTGTGCAGTTTTTCATTGATGCATTGATATCAGGAAACGTATAACTTCAAATTGTAGGTGTTGGACCACAAGAAGCACCAGCATAAGGAGTGAATCTCTGCTGATACACCGAACAAGATTAAAAAAGGAAGAAAATTAAAACAGCAATCAACAGCAGCCGAACAAGAGCAGAGGAAGTTAAGGCACAGGCCGAATAAACAGAAGGAAAAAAAGAGTGAATAGGCGCATTAGAGCTGATAAGTAAAAATACGTGGAAGATCTAGCAATGACATGGGAAAAAGCTGAAAAAGAAGGAAAACAGAAAACCTCCTGATAAAAATAAGGAGCTAGCAAGGAAGATATAGTAAACCAGAGAGACCAGTCAAGAACAGAGAAGGCAAACCAATCACCGGAATTCAAGAGTAGCGGGACAGATGGATAGAACACCTAGAAGAGCTCTTTGATAGATCAGACTCACTGAACACACCAAAAAATGAAGTAGCACACACAGACCCTCCTATAAATGTTACCTTACTAACAGAAATCAATACCACCGGACAAATCAATAATGGCAAAGCAACAGAACCACACAACATACCAGCTGAAGCACCGAGGCCAGATATGGAGGTAAACTGCAAAAAATGCTCCACATCCACTACATGACGATTTGCGAAGGACAAATACCGGCAGATTGAAAGGAGAGATAACTTGTTAAGATACCGAAGAAATCATAGTAGGTGTGAGAAATACAGAGGCATCATACCAATATTCATATCAAGAAAAGTCCTCATCGGCATTACTGAACCAAAGAACGACTCAGTGGACTCCCAACAAGTTGACTTGCACAAGATCCGATTGTGTGCCAACCAAATCGCAACACTACGGATCGTTATTGAGCAATCAACAGATTCGAACTCGTCAACATACATCAACTTTCTTGGATATGAGAAAGCGTTTGACAGAGTAGATAGAAGAATCCTCTCCGATATTATGATGTGCCTGGAATTGTCACAATCATATGGAAATCCTACGACAGACTACACTGCATAGTATAAAGAAAGCAGCAAACAGATGAATTCCACGAGATAACGGTTGTCAGATACGGCTACTTACTTTTGTCCTCTCTCCTTCTAGTGGTTAACTGGATTATGAAGGCCTCCCCAAATCAGGGGAAGCACAGAATACAATGGACCGCATGGATTCAGCTAGACGATTTGGATTCCGCAGAAGCCTTACCACTTCCATACATACACAGCATCCAATGCAGGAGCAGACAGCCAGTGTAGGAGTAGTAGGCTTCAACATTCACAAAGAAGAAAGCGAGGTCCTAAGATACAACACAGACGGCACCAACCAAATCACACTTGATGAAGCTCTGGAAGAGGTGGAAATTTATATACACATGAGCATCACCGATAAACAAGGAGAGTCCGATGCAGATGTGGAGGCACAGATTGGCAAAGCAAGGGAAGTATTCTTACTAGTGAAGAATATCTAGGACTCAAAGAACAGTCACTCGAGATCAAAGTCAGAATTCTCGACAAGAAACCTAAAGCAGTTTTTGTACAGATCTGAAATTTCGGAAAATACTACAAATAACATCAAAAAGGTGCTGGTATTTGTGAACAGCTTTCTATGAAAGATACTCTGGAACTGATTGCCAGAGACTACCAACAATAACCTACTATGGCAGCGAAAAAACCACCTCCCATCTGGATAGGAAATCTGGAACAGACGACCGAGGTGGATAGGTCACAACTTATAGAACTGCATCGCTGGGCAATTCCTAACACGGAATCCTCAAGGGAAGACATCAATGAACAGCACTAGACAAGTGGAAAGGAGAGCCCGGGATGGAGTAGGTTGAAGATACCAGATTGACGGCCTATGCTCCACGACGATTGACGAGCGTAATTAAGTAACCTCAATGTCAAAAGAAAATGAAGCAATCAGAAAGTTAAAGTACGGTCTAGTCATCGAAATCTTGCATAAATGTGGAAAATACCTCTACAAGATTTCGGCAAGCCACTTTGTGCTTAGTGTCGGAAAACAAGCATAGTTATTCTGTTATCTAAGCAACTAAAGTTGTTTGAGCATCATTTCCTAAGATTAAACTCCAAGATCCCCTAAAATAACTTCGAACTATTGCACTTCTGACCGCCTTTGCGCACATTTATAAACTACCTCATTAACCACGTTTGCTTAGTAATCTGATATATTTCCTTGAAGCATAATTGATTACAACTGAAATGACGAATGCAGATTTAAAAATAAAGTAAAATGTTTAGTAAGAACACAATTGTAAATTCTATCTATAACTTATATTTACATTAAGATAATACGGTTGCTATATTATAATTACTAGTGACAAGTAAACAATATACAGGTGAACATTAATTGAATCCTGTGAATGCATTCAAAATCTGGAAAAAGGTGAAAAGCAGAATCAGTTTTGTAACCCTTATTTCTGTTGTTAAATTACTCAAGTACATAATCCGGAATTGCCGTTAATTTCATGCTCACATAATTTGTGACGAAACCCAGTTGAATTACATAACTTTCAATCAAAACATTATACATATCATTAGATTGTTGGACAAAATGGTCTATAATGACTATTCTCAAAATAGAGCATCTACAATGTCAAATGGTGATTCGATGAGGAAACTATATGTATAACTGTAAGGTAAGGTACGGCAACTCGAACTGATGTACGTACATACGAATTCTACGTTGTTACTGACTGACCCCTTCCCCATGGAAAACATCCACTTCATAATTTTTGAGGAAAAAGTGCGAAAACATTAAAAGAAATTATATACTAATAAAAACAATACGGTTACAGGATCAGTTACAAACAAACTGTATATGTATGCAAATATATACATATATTTATATTGAAAAAATCACTCTCATATCTGATTAAAAAAATAAACCACGAAAAACAAAAGATAAATCCGTGCATAAATAAAGTTGCCGTGTATAGATTAATGCATATATGTATGCATGGATATGACCAAGAGATATGATATTAAAAGTTTAACCGATTAATGTGGAGTACAAATATTGGGTACAAATAAACACAAACATAAACACACTGTTAGTGAGGAAATAGTCAATCATCAAGTCGATTAGGATCAAGGTGCGTAGAAGATTGTTTGCCACGACCTAGAACTTTACTCAATTGTTTCAGTATTTTCGGCTGACCCTGGAAAATAGTTATTTATAAGATAAATGAAAGTCAAAAGAAAACTACACAATATTAAGTCATATTCTATGACAATTCAATTAAACGAAATAGACTGTTATTTAGGAAGTTATATAAATATACTTATTTATTTTAGCACATAGATACTGGTACACGGAGGCACCAAATACATATGCGCCACACAAATCTCATTTGATGTGTGAGGGCTGTGATACTGCTCGGGTGCCTAAACCGAAGCAGATATATAAGTATATGGCAGCAATATATTGCCATGTGATTATCTACGTAGGACCTGGGGCAGATCTGCGTTCGTTCAAGTTACTACACTACAACATCACAATGATATGAAATTAACGACACCCATAAGTAAACGCACCAAAGTAATACTCGCGTCCATAACAACAAAAAAATGTATATTTACAGAATATGATGTGAAATAAAGAAGATGAAATTGAAGAATGAAAAGGTATGAAATAATGCTAAAACTCAAGACAATCGAGAACAAACTCATTTACACTAGTGGAACTGACTTTCAACCACAAAAGTTAACGTCTCCCCAACCATTAAACATGATTATTTCACAAACCCATACAAGATAGTCTAAGCTTTCCAGTATGACTCAAACTAACAGTCCATGGTTTCATGGACTGACAGCATATCTTGGCTTGACAACTCCTAGTTTACTCATACATCAGTCATCATTGAATGTCAAGGTAGGCGATGGTTGAGTATACGTAATACCTAAGTATGGACAAATATCTTTTAACATGAGACAAAAGATTGAATACACTCATTCATTAAAATTTTGTTTCAATAATATAGTTCACTACAATGATAATTTTATAATAATGGTCTGAGAAAAAAAAAGTTCAATAAGATATTGTAAAGATAATAACATTTAATATGTTACCATCCGCTTTTAAAAAAGTAAGTATATTTTTCCAAATGCTCAGATTGACGGTAATCATGATTAGCTTACTGTGTAATAAATATAACAGCCTAAACAATTATTTCATGAAGAATTTTTACGTAAATTAGTTTTTAAAGAAAAAACTGAAAACTTACACGATGCTTCAAAGCTGATGGCACCTATGTACATAAAATAGAATAAAATCAGAACAGTTTGAAGCATTAAATGAAATCAGAAATTTGCAAGAATTTCTTTATATATATATATATATATATATATATATATATATATATATATATATATATATATATAATATAACTATATATTGACAAGAAATTCGACCGCGTGATAAACCACGGCGTGCCAATAATACATGCTTATGTTATTCTGATTTTAAAATCAAAATAATCTAAAGATCACACTAAAAGAAAACTTCAAGGGGTTTATTCATAATTAACTGTACAATAACGTGATAAAAAAAACAGTGGAGATAATAAGAAGCCTGATGACGATCTAATTGAAAACAATTGTTCGCTTATATGTGTTGTTCTAATTTTCACAATGGGAATCTTTAATATTATAATAAGAAATAAGCAGAAAATTCAGAACGACAATTATATATCCAAATTAATAATCCCAAAAATTGGCGAAGTTCATCATTTAAGGTCACAGCATGTGAATTTAGGATTATTAAACAAAATAGAATAAAATTGTTAATGTTGGTATGACTCATATGGAATGTTAACTTGAATCAGCTTATACGTTAAATGAAATTGTGAGAATCATGATCAAAATAAATATGGGTGAGATAGGGTGAGAAAAATAAGAAGGCAATTACTAATTACATCAAATATTTCGTGCAAGACTATATTGTGTTAAGATTTTAAATGAAATCAGTAAGAAATAATAAAGTGGGATGAATACAAAGAAAATAAATCATGCAATTGGAAGATTAGTAATGACACCAAACCAATAATAGTAGCGATAATAATATACACAGATGACAGATACAATTATATTTGACTAAGAAAGGTTGTAAGTACACTAGTTAAATTGTCATTCAATAATTAAAAATACTGAGGTTGACCAGGGTATAAAAAGCGGTTGAAGGTATATATACATATAGGTTCAGTTTCTTAATCTGGAAGGCTACTGCTTTTGCCGATTGAAGGATTTTGAGTCTGACAGGCTTTGGCAAAAATTACTGACCCCATAAATGATCGAAAGAGACTGACTTATACTGGCACTATGACGAGTTTAACTCCGCCTGTAGCTCTTCTAGAGTTACTGTCGGTCCCGAGCCCGGGTAAAGGAGGAGGGTTGGGCATGGGGTTAGCGTCCCCATTCCGTAGAAAACTAACTCGCTAAAAAAACGCTAACCAGAAAATAATTCAAACCATTTTAACTCTGCCCTGAAAGTTAGAAGGTCTTCATTTACAAGAACTATGACGCCTCATGTTGAAAGTCGAGTTCCTAAAGTAGCCACGAGGCCGATGCACCTTCTAACAACCAGAGCAACAATTTTTATAGGTACATGGAACGTCCGAACAATGTGGGAGACCGGGAAGACCAGTCAAATAGCAACGGAAATGAGGAGATACAACTTGACAGTACTGGGAATTAGCGAAACCCATTGGACACAAGTTGGACAACAAAGGCTAAATACGGGAGAGATGCTACTATACTCCGGTCACAAAGAGGAAAATGCTCCGCACACTCAGGGAGTTGCTCTAATGCTGTCCAAAGTAGCACGAAATGCACTTGTAGGATGGGAATCTCACGGATCCAGAATCATCAAAGCATCATTCAAAACAAAGAAGGGGGGTATCTTAATGAATATTATCCAATGTTATGCACCCACCAATGATAGCAACGACGACATTAAAGATCAATTCTACGAGCGGCTGCAGTCAATCATAGGGAAATGCCCAAGAAAGGACCTCACCATTCTAATGGGAGATCTAAATGCCAAAGTCGGAATAGACAACACTGGATATGAAGATATTATGGGACGACATGGACTGGGAGAAAGAAACGAAAATGGAGAAAGATTTGCAAATCTATGTGCATTCAACAAATCGGTCATAGGGGGCACAATATTTCCACACAAACGTATACACAAAGCTACATGAATCTCATCGAACCACACCACAGAGAACTAGATAGATCATATTTACGTCAATAAAAAGTTTCGAAGGACAATGGAAGATGTGAGAACCAGGAGAGGTGCTGACATAGCTTCAGATCACCACCTAGTTGTGGCCAATTTAAAACTGAAGTTAAAGAAGAACTGGACAACTGGACAAACAGCACTACAAAGGTTCAATACAGCCTTCCTTAGAGATACTAACAAAATCAACGAATTCAAGATAGCTCTCAACAACAGGTTCCAAGCTTTACAGGATCTACTGAAGGAAGAAGAAACCACTATGGAGGACAACTGGAAAGGCATCAAAGAAGCATTAACTTCAACGTGTCAAGAGGTTCTGGCCTAAAGAAACACCATCATAAGGAATGGATCTCTGTAGAAACTCTGAACAAGATCAAAGAAAGGAGGAACAAGAAGGCAGCAATTAACAACAGCCGAGTACGAGCAGAGACAGTCCGAGCACAAGCTGAATACACAGAAGCAAACAAGCAAGTGAAGAAGAGCATTAGAGCCGACAAGAAAAAATACGTGGAAGAACTAGCAACGATCGCGGAAAAAGCTGCAAGAGAAGGGAATATGAAACAGCTTTACGATACAACGAAGAAACTAGCAGAAAAATACAGTAAACCAGAGAGATCGGTCAAGGACAAAGAAGGCAAGCCAATCACTGAAATTCAACAACAGCGGAACAGATGGGTAGAATACTTCGAGGAACTCCTGAATAGGCCGTTTCCAATGAATCCACTGGAAATCAAAGTAGCACACACAGATCTTCCTATAGATGTCAGTCCACCAATGACGGAAGAAATCAGAATGGCCATCAGACAAACCAAGAACGGGAAAGCAGCAGGATCCGACAACATACCAACTGAAGCACTGAACTCAGACATCGAAGTAACTACAAATATGCTTCACCTTCTATTCAAAAAGATTTGAGAGGAGGAACAAGTGCCGATGGACTGGAAAGAAAGACACCTCATCAAGATTCCAAAGAAAGGAGATCTGAGCAAATGTGAAAACTACAGAGGCATTACACTACTGTCAATACCAGGGAAGGTCTTCAACAGAGTGTTGCTGAACTGGATGAAAGATACAGTAGACACCGAACTTCGAGATCAACAAGCTGGATTCCGTAAGGATCGATCGTGCACAGACCAAATTGCAACACTACGGATCATCGTCGAACAATCAGTTGAGTGGAACTCGTCACTATACATCAACTTCATTGATTATGGAAAGGCATTTGACAGTAAGGATAGGAGGACGTTATGGAAACTTCTTCTACACTACGGAGTTCCTGAGAAGATTGTCAATATTATCCGGAACTCATACGACGGACTACAATGCAAGGTCGTGCATGGAGGACAGCTGACAGATGCATTCCAAGTAAGGACCGGAGTCAGACAAGGCTGTTTACTCTCTCCCTTCCTTTTTCTCCTGGTGGTTGACTGGATTATGAAGACCTCGACATCTGAGGGAAAACATGACATACAATGGACATCTCAGAACCAGTTAGAAGATTTGGACTTCGCAGATGACTTAGTCCTCCTTTCGCATACACACGAACAAATGCAGATAAAGACAGCCAGTGTAGCAGCAGTCTCTGCATCAGTAGGCCTCAACATACACAAGGAGAAAACCAAGGTCCTCAAATACAACATAGAGAACAGCAATCCATTCACACTTGATGGCGAAACTCTGGAAGATGTAGAATCCTTCACACACCTCGGAAGCATTATCGATGAACAAGGAGGCTCAGATGCAGACGTAAAGGCGAGGATTGGGAAAACAAGGGCCGCATTCCTTCAGTTGAAGAACAAATGGAACTCACAACAACTGTCAACCAATATCAAAGTCAGAGTCATCAAAACGAATGTCAAGGCAGTTCTACTGTACGGAGCTGAAACTTTGAGAACTACAGCAACCACCATTAAAAAGGTACAAGTATTTATTAATAGCTGTCTACGCAAGAAACTCAACATCCATTGGCCGGATACTATCAACAACAGCCTTTTGTGGGAGAGAACAAATCAGCATCCAGCTGAAGAAGAAATTAGGAAAAGACGATGGAAATGGATAGGACATACATTACGCAAATCGTCAAACTGCATCACGAGACAAGCCCTAACTTGAAATCCTGAAGGGAAACGGAAAACAGGAAGGCCAAAGAACACATTACGTCGGATAATAGAAGCAGATATGAAAACGATGAATAACAACTGGAAGGAGCTGGAAAGGGTTGCCCAGGACAGGGTTGGGTGGAGAATGCTGGTGAGCGGCCTATGCTCCTTCACGAGGAGTAACAGGCGTAAGTAAGTAAGTATGACGAGTTTGCACTAAATGGGCCAAAATCGATCTGTTCAATTTCTTCACTAGGTCTTTCTTTAGGCACGCCGGCAGGTGTTCAGGAGCACGAAAATGAAATTCATAAGGTACTCACGAAGTAATGAAATATAACGGCTTATTCCCTGAGAACAATCTATAGAAGAGTATATATATGAGTTTACCTTCAGTCTAAAAATCTACTGGTCAATGTTGAGTAATGATTAAACGATGGGAAAAACCATAGTAGTTTAAGACTTTTAGGTAGAACAGAATTGGGGCTAACTCTGAATAAATGTTACATATTGTAATTTCACAAAACATTTTGAACATAATGGTCAGAATTTATTTAAAGCTACAATATAGTTGGTTTGATAAATTCGTAGTTATAATGATTCTGTCAGTTGGATGATCAACAGTGTGATTCTTCTTTTTAATGTAATTATGTTTAAATATTATTTCCAAAGGGACATAAATACTTTCAAATCTCCCTCTTTCATCTGTAGATGAACACAAATGAACCTTATGTACACTGCATTTACAAAAGTGACGATTATAACGACTCATTACTTTTTCATTTCCTACGGATATAAATTTAATTATCAATATAAATTAGGGCATATATATTATGATAATTCTGCACTTGTATAAACCTTTTCTTCGGTTTAACAAAAGAAAAAAACATGTCACATTATCGAGAGCGATGAAATGACTCACTCACTTGAAACATTTCAGAGTACATGAAACTACACTCCAGTATTCGATAACTATAAACACTTACAATAAAGTATTAATTGTATTGAAGTAGAATATTGACAAAATTCTATGTCTACTAGGATAGAATGTTATAATTTAGTTAGAGAATTAATTTATACAGCGAATTAGAGTGGAATTCTCACGATTATTTCAGACTACTTGGTTTTTTTCAAGAATAAACCAATATTTATTCATAATTTAGAGAATAGAAAAGTACAAATGATTTAGGGTGAAATAAACGTTGTGATCAGATTTATACTTGAAATTCAATAACTTTAAGACTAGCAAAATGTAAATCATTTTCATAGCAAATTTATTTAAAACTATTCAGTTGAGAAACTTACTTTACTTAATTCCGGTTTATCATTACCATCTGCCCAACCTACATGAATCTTTGATCGATTTCTGTGCCATGAATGATCACGGACAAATTTTACTGGACCAGCTGGAGCAGAACTGGCTGTACTTGGAGCGGAAGACGTACTACCAGTATTTGACACATTATCACTTGCTCTAGGTGGCCGACCATGTGGAACAGCAAAGGTTGAAGGAGCGGGAAACGGAAGTCCATCATCAAAATCAGCATCATCAGCAGAATATACATCATATCCTAGCGGATCATAATCTTCCATGTAACACTCATCATTTGCTGATGTTGTATAATAAGGTGCATTTACAGAATAATCTACTTTAACGGGCATAGTAGAATGCTTTTTGAAGTTAAGACGTGTTTTGCTCATCATCTTTTGTATACGACTGGGTTGTCTTGTAAACTCATTAGATGATAAATATTCAACATTCTCAGGATTAGATCTGTAGTTAAAACATATAATATTAAAAAGTTAGTCTTAGCGCGGACAGAGCAAAGATGAACACAAACGAAACTTATTTTATAAAAGTGAAAAGAAGCTTTAATAAAAAATATAAGTCAAGCTTACTCAGTCTTTACTTCACGTTTACGATGTTTATTGAAAAAAGCAGATGCTGCTGAAATCAAAGGAGCACCTGGTCGACGACTTTTAGAACTTATAAATTTACTAGCCCGTCGTTTACCACCTTCAGAATTTTGATAATCTGAACTACCATCGGCAGAGCAATTACGATGAGTGTTATTGAATTCCGGGGGTAGAAGACCACGCATGTGATTGATCAACTTCCCTTGTTGTTCTGTAATAGTAGAAAGACGATGAACTTCACGCTCAAGTGCTTGTTGCGTTGCTTCGCCTAGTTCTTTAGCTCTCACTGTTGCCATTTCTGACTCTCGAGCGTCTTGACGAGCAGTATCACGTTGACTGAGAAGTTGTGTATTATTGAGACGAAGTCGTTCAACTTGAGTCCGCAGTTGATCTATCTGAAATATAAGATTAACGAAATTTAATTTGACAGTTTGTCTCGATCAAACAAAAACTGAACAATGAAAGTAGAAATAAACCTACCTCGTCTTGGAGTGTTTGTTTCTCATCAGTGAGAGTAACTAATTGATTATGCACTTCAGATGAATTTTCAGCAGTCTGTACAGTATGAAAAACGATATACGGAAGTAATTAACAAAGATGTACAGAATATGAAGTTAAACTATTGAAAATCTAATATATACTTCATAGAAATAAGTTGTATTTCAAAATCATAAGGACCTCCTTTAGAAGTCATTACTATCTATTCAAGTTTGTACAGATGTGAAATGAGAAGTGGCTGATATTTGCAAACATAAGTGATATTGTCTTAAAATATTCTTCGATGTATGAAAAATTGGATGTTAATTTTAGTCTGAATTTTCTGACTTTTTAGTGTACAACTTGTAAACTAAATACAGTATATAAAACAGTTCACAAGACTAATTTTGTGATGATTAAATTATCAATACAATCAAATTGTGACGCTTAATCAATGAAAATTCAGCACTAAAACAACAGAAAGACCTGATACTCAGCTTACAACTCTTAGAATAAATCATTGATACACCGATGAAAAGACATAGTGTTATACGAAAATAAACAGGTGATCTGAATGCAAGAGTTATCAACAAGACTCACATGACCTAAAGCAATAGAAGCCTGTAATTGATCATGTCGTGTTCGCAGAAGCGTCACTTCTTGCTTCAGGTCAGAAATCTCACGTTCATAGTTAGCTACGCGTTCGCTGAAAATAGACAACAAATAATGAAGTTACAGTGAATAGAATACATGAAACACTTGTCAATAATCATATATTATTTGATTATTTACTAAAATAGAATATCAGTAGCAAGAATACATGAGAAAAAATAAATCACAGGTAAAATTACTTGGGAAATATAATTCATGCAAACATACAAAAAGAATGTTTAAAACATTTCCCAACACAAAAATATATAAAGAAGACATTTACCGTAACAATTCCTCATTTTGTTTATATTGAATAAGTTCAGTTTGAGCAGTTCTCAACTGGGACCTTGTTGATTCAAACTCATTTCTCATTTGATCAAGAATAAGCTGTTTCGCAGGAAAAAAACAAAGGTAGAACGATAAAATTAGGCTATTAAAATCATCCATATTATAACTTGAAGTAATTACAATGCAATAAAATGTACACTAGACTAGAAACAGTTTCAAAAGAAAATATTTAAACAGTGAAAGAAACTATACCGTTTGATTATGTGTAGTATTTAATCTTTCCAGTCGAAGTGTTGCTTCACGAAGAGAAATCTCAGCAGATTCTTTTTTCATTATTGCGTCATTTAATTGTAGTTGCATATCTGATAAGCGCTAAAATGATTTAAGGGAAAAGAATAAAATAATAAGCAAATAGGAGAATGACTTTAAGAAAACCCCACTCTATCAACCACATTAAAATGATACACAAATTTGAAAACGAATTTTTTTTTCATGTATCAAAATCCCTAAAAATTAGGATTACAGTCTTAGAATTTTTTGAAAATAACAAACAAAATCAATTCAATGTCCATCACAGAATATATTGTATTAGTTACATGACGCCGAATATAAGAAAAGGTTAAAATGTCATCTACGAAAGCAGATTATTAGTTAAATCATATAATATGTCATCAGTCATAATAATCTATATCAACTGGGGAGACTTTTAGGTAAATATCAATCCTACAAACAAAGACATCTAAGAAGGCATATAAAAGTAATAAACATCCTATGAACAAGGTAATCAGAACAGAACGACGTCGTACTTGTGGAAAGACCTAGATAAATCGACTTCTATTTGAAGTTAATACCGAGGATCCCATTTAAAATAACAGTGAAAGGCCATACAATGAATGTTGTATGTAAAAAAGGTTATACCGCATAAATTAATTTAGTTTAACTAACCTGAGAGTCGATTGCTGAAAGTGAAACTAAACGACCACGTTCAGTAAGCATAACTGCAATTTGATCTCGTAGACTTTTTAATTGCGTTTCCGCTTTATCTGCTCGTTCCTCTAGTTGACGACGTTCAGATTGCTTATCATTGAATAAATGCTCTTTCTCCTTGAAAACAAAAGAAAACAATAGTAGATAACTACAAATTGTTGGAGAAATATGTGAAATTGATGAAATTACAAAATACAAATAACAAACATTTAGTACGATTAAAAGAATATGATCAAGTTACAAAAATAACAGTACAAGTGAACAGATAAAAACATTTAGGTTATAATGGGAAAAAGGTAACAACATCACATGTAACATTGATTATAACATTTCTTGAGATATTTTGCTCAATGATTTCAAAAGCTTTGATCTTTGGTCTTAAGGTCACAAATGTACCCACACATAGTAAAGTGTGACAATATATTGTTCATTATTATGATTTATATTTAATTTTAGTTTATGGAGCATCACGAGAACAATAAATGAACGAATTTGAACAAAAATTAGCATACACCAAGTCATTTTACTAACTTTAAGTCAATCTGAATGAATTTATTATACATCTTATTGTCAACTTGGATTCATTTCATGGCTTCTAGAGCTGATTCAATAGCATTTTTCCCCATCCACAATAGTGTATACACATGATCATAATCAATTTAAAAAATATGACGAACTAACTACGTATCAAACGATAAAAAGGACGTAATCGAAGAGTACTTACTGTTCTTACATTATCCAACTGCTTTCTCAATTCACTTAATTCGGACCCATTTTGTTGTGTTGCTTCTTGCAAGGCATTTCTTAAAGCTGCAAGTTCTCGTTCCACTTCCTTATTACGTTCAACCAATAAACTAAGTTGACCACTAATATATAAATAAGAAAAACCATCATCAACTGTATCAGTAATTATGAAATAGCAAAACTTCAATCATATATGTTTAATGACAGCAATCGAAAAGTTATTACTCGTCTTTTCATAGTCTACTAAAACTTGATATCGACTAACAAGATGAATTGTTGTTTAACGAAAATCATTTATCAATTTCGCAATGTACCGGTGAGGCATTACAAAAAGAAAAGCAAAACAGATAATGTAAATATGGCTAAAATGATTTTGACAATCTCTCTCTCTCATCTTGATAGCGATTTTAAACACAATGATCACTAACAATAAAGCATCGGATCAAAACAAAGAAGAATAAAAATACATCACATCAACAAATTTTGAAATAACCTAGGTGTTTATTGAAGAGAGTGATTTAGTATCATACCACTGAAAGTAGTTAACCAACAATCATTGTATTCTTGGGGGACATAGCTAACTTAAAATTCCCTACTGTTTAAATTATTATGAGGTACTGTTAAAATTTACAATGAAGCATATAAACAAAACAAAATATACTACAGGTAAACAAGTATACTACCGAGTTCATACGTGAATATATCATTGATGTACAAATCATTTGGTTCCGAGATAATTTTGATAATAAAAAGATATATTTTAAAAACTAAAAATAGATTTAAAATTACAGAAGAGCTTACGATTGTGTTTGCAATTCAGATGAATTATTCTGTTGTTTTTGCACTGAGTTAAGTGTCAATTGTTCAAGTTTCTCTGTAATCTCTTTGTTTTTCTATAAGACAAAAAGTGAATTAGTAAAATAAAGTCAATAGAATGTATGGAATACGTATTCCTTAAAGTAACAAATATAACTTGATAAGAATTCAAATAATTGACATAATGGTAATAAGTCAAATATCATAGCCAGCCAGTTAGTCATAAGCAGCGTAGGACCCAGTACTTATGAGTATCGCTTCAAGTTTTCATACTAAACTATTAGTATAGTGAGATGAAATTATCAAGACAAATGTAAGTGATAGAAGTAGTAACAGAAAAGATTGGGGATGAACAAATTGATTCAGCAAGAAATAACGAATTTAAGGGATGCAAAGTATAAGATAATTTTGAAACTCAAGATATAACGGAAAACAAAGAGTAAAAGAATCTGTGCCGCATCGATTGATTATAAGTAATACCACCTAATGTCTCCAACCACTGGTTACGATGACTGTGGACTCCAATCTAATGGTCTGAATCTGTCAAAAAGGTTTAGTCCACGAGTCAGTTATCTTCTGAATTGACGAAACGTCGTAGTTTGGATATTCCTAGTTTTTTTTTCAACTTATTCCTATCAATAATTTTACTCAAGGTGACGAAAAAAATATTTACAGACTCATAAAAGAAAAACAAAATACTGTAAATAATACAAGTTTTCAAGTTAACTCAATCAAACGGAGTTGTCTACATACTTTGGCTATAAGATTTTTAAAATCAATTTTAAGAATAATCATTCAAAGCTAGTGGACTACATTGGTACAATTAAACGAAAGTTCACTACGTAGTAGAGATTGAAGACAATGACAAGTCTGCATTTCTGTTACAAAAACGACAGTAAATACGAAGGCTAGGGTTTTAAGTCTTTCACTGACTAGGACTCGAAAACATTAGTTAATCGTAGTATCGATTATATCGTGAGACGAAAACGCTCATTACAGACAACAACGTTATCTAGGTTATTCGTTAGCAATTGCTGTTGTGCAAGAAATTTAGACTGTCATGGTCGCGTATACGTAAAATTAACTTTCTACAGCTACAAGTTACATAACTTTTGGCTGATAAGTTCTAGTTCCCCTCTTCAAGAAACTGGGATAAAAGTGATTTGCATAAAATTAGTTTATTAACGATGGCAAACCTTTTCTTCTTCTTTTAACCTCTCTCGTGCTGAGAAGTATTTGTCTTCGAATTGCAAGAACTTCTGGTGTAAATCACGTTGATAATCCTTCGAATCTTCAAGCTTTTGTTTCAATTCCTGCAGATATGAATATTAAAATAAAACGGTAAGCTATAGAAACTCTTACATTAGTTGAACACATCTACAAAAGTAAGCCTTGCATCATACAACAACTGCTAATTTTCTGATACTCAATTAGACGACACTGATATAGGAAATATGAAGACGATGTGAAACACAACTATACCCAGACATGTTCAGTGTACTAGGCTTATAAACCACATCAATGTACAAAGGTTACCCAGAACTCTTTACGTGGGACGGTTTTTCAACGTGGTACTGACATGGTTTTATGAATAGATGAATAAGCCAAATACCAACATACTTCCGAAACAGGAAATAAAGCACATTACGATCAATAGGATAAATTATATATATACAGAAAATAAATCGTCTCAATACAATTAACACAACTATTTGCCCCCTATAATGAGTATTTATTATTAATTAATACAAACAATTTAACATAAAAAACACTAAGTGTATTCCACTTGATATCTTGACAATCTGGGTCAATATCTGTATTAATTCAGAACTGAAATGACTCTAGATATAATTACATGTATCATATAAACTCGTAGATAATATAAAGAGATAAGTATTGGGTATAATAAAATCAATTATGCGAAAATCTAACTAACAAACTATCTTTCTGCATAAAATTAGGTTTTCGACCACATTGTCAATAAACAAGACTTAAATATCACAGACAGAGAATGTGATATTAACACTTGCACAAAAGAGAAAATCAATATTTTGTTTGGATGACTATATCAATTGACGGACGAAAGAATACTCACAAATGATACATCAAACTGTTAACAAGTACACGATCTATGTTTGATATTACGTTCATTAAGAAACATGTATAACCCCGTTTGTCGTTAAACAGATATTTCTGAATGATTACAAGTTAAATAACAGAGAAAAAACTAACTTTAATTTCCCAATTAAGATTGCTCTCAGTCTCACGATAACGACGTTGATCTGCAATTAATCCATCAATAGTTTCCACCAATTGATTAACTTGTTGCTTTGATTCATCTAAAGCTTTTTTCAGCTCAGCATTAGTCGATTCTAATGCATAACATGATTGTCTTGCACGATTAGAAGCATGTTTAAATTGTTTGAGAGCGAAATTGATAAGACGATGAACTAATTCATAGCCAATAAGATTATCTGATGAATTAGATGTACGTATAGTTGACAGTGAAACATCAGCTAGCATTTCAGGTGTTGTGTAAACTGTAGGTGGACATAGTGCAGTTAGCAGATCAAGTAAATCCGCTTCTGTAAAATTACTTGGCAAATTTGAAAGACGAGACTGAGATTTAAAAGTAGAATAAAATCACAGAGTACTGAATTATGATAAGTTTCTTACAATGTGAAAGAAATAGCGATAAAATAATAAAAACAACATTTATGGATCTACAACTTGAAAATACATTGTCGAGATGGTAGAGAGAACAAGTTGTCCATCATATCTCCAGAAATTTGAATAACGTACTTCCACCTGGACTTTATGCTGATGCTACTTAGAAGAATAATGAAAACTACATGATTAAACCAAATACCTCAGAGAACGAAACTCCACTAAAATATTATGTTTTAAAGGAACATATTTATGTATCCAGAATAACAAATTACTATAGTAAGTAGATCTATTTTTCATCACCACAACAAAAGTATATTAAACTACTAGGAATTTATTTGAGAAAAGGCTTGGAGAATCAAGTACATCGATACAAATAAGCTTCTGAAATTAACCAACAAATAACTTGAGTTTACAAAATAAAGACCCATGTAAATATAGGACTAGATAAAATTTCTCCTAAACACAGTTGAAATATAAAACTAATTTACTATTTCGTATAATTTACTTGTAACTTTTTATTACTTAAAAAGTTAGTAAAACGTACACTGGAAAATCTCTAAATTTGACCCATGAGAAAATGATAAAATAAGATTTCTTTATACAAAATGTTGGTCCGTCTACAACCCCTATAAAATTATCGAGCATAAATACGATGGAGTATTAAGTAACTTATTTTTTAGTAGTAAAGAATTACACCCGAAGTGATAAATTAAAATATCATACTTACTGATTTGGAAATGGAATTTAACACTTTAGAAATTCTGTACGTCAATAGCACTAACCAATGAAGTAAAGATTTTTCTCAGCTTAGAAGTCAATTTGTATCGGTTGTTTGAATCTTCCCACTGACGTTTAGGAGTGAAATTAACCAATCTCATTTCGAAATATGTGCCTTGATATTGCCATTAATTTACAAACACTATAACCAGAGATGACTGGTCATTAGCAGTGGAATCCAGGGTGAGTGTTTCGTCCTATCTGATACTCGTCAACTAGATGTACCTGGATTCCAAAATTGATGCTTACTTCGGGACTCAAACGTCAATATCTAGGCAATATGCACAAGATGCATATATGTCAAAAGATATTGATCGATTGCGTAGATTAGTTCGAGTCTTGGAATGAACATCAACCGACGAGTCACAAATAGGACGAAACGCGCATCCTGGATTCCACTGCTAGCCACCAATCATTTCTGTTTAGGGTTTGAATTTATGATTTCTAAGAAATACTCAAGCAACAATAAATGACATACATCATCTTACAACAAAAGATTATACTAAGATCATAATGCTAAAAAGAGCAAAAATGCATACCACAGCGTGTTGCAATTGATCCACTATAGCTTGTGCCTGTTGACAACTTTGTACTGAAGCAGTCAAACGAACATTTTCTTCCTGAAGGTGTTTTATTCTAGAATTCAAATGACCAACAGTAGATCTATTACGAACAAAAATGGAACGACATATATTATGGATAAGATTAGTAACTATCGTCAGGGAAGAACTTTAAAACTGGAATAACAGAAAAGCTAATCAAAATCTTAGAAACAATAATAATTATACAATATCATATAAAAATGCGCTACGGTAAAAAAAAATTTCACACAAAAAACCCTAATTATATGAAAGTGGATTAGAAGACTAACTTTTCTTTCTCAACGACTGTATCAGAAAGAACACGTACAGCTTCATTAATTTCTTTCAGGACATGACCATTGTCGAATGCACTTAACAATCGTTGACGTAAATCCTATACACAACATAAATAAACAACGTGAATTACACAATCAGATTGCCTTACAGACATAAACAGAAGAGATACAACAAATAAATGATATATATCAAGTTACTGTTAAGTGTTAGTTAAGCTCACATGAACCATAAAGAAAACATAAATTAATAGACAAATAAAACAAAATTGTAAAACAGTTTTATTTACTAACTAAACGCCATTTAATGAGTTAACAAAAAAACCTACAACAAATAGGGAGTTATTTTAATTGACCTTAAAGAATTAAAGAAATAATAACACGAAAATAGATCAACATTCGCAACGACCATATGCTTAAACTTTCCTACTAGTTAACAGTTTAACGTAGTTATGTAGGTCTTGTCTAAATATTTTGTAAGAATATGTGAGCGACAATACAAAAAAACGTATTTTACATAAACGTCAAATACTGGCCACTTTTTGTCTTTTAACAAAACCAAAAAACAATAAAGAATATAACTCTGTTGTGACGATAGAACCTAGGATAACGATAGGTTGAAAATAAATAAGCTATGTTTTTTAATTTACCATGAATACAAGTATATACAAAAGTGATGAAGACTAGTACTAACATTCACACGTTCAGAAGTATCCAGTGATATAATTGACGAATCCAAATACTGCTCTTAAGATCGACTAGACAAATAAATAGTTTTAGTATGAACAAAGTAGGACAGATGAAACAATCACGTTTTGAAAGTAAAATAACATGAAAAATTTAAGGAAATTATTGTGAAAACATGTGAATGACACAAACGCTGTCAACAATGATATGAATTTCGTTAATGATTGACAAACCAATGGAAAATAAAGTGACAATCGGCCCATAACAAGATTATATATAAAATATCGTAAAAATCAACATACCTCAGACTCTTTATTCTGTAGTTGTAGCTGTTCAATTTGTTCACATAACTGTCGATTACGTTGCTGAAGTTCAGATAAACCGACAATTTCAGGATCACTCGTTTTTTTGGCATCCTTAAGTCGCCCAACGTCAGAACAACCAATGCTATGTCTAAGTGATGTAGATAATGAATCTTGGTTTTCAATAAATGTTCGTCTGTAAGGTGTGCTACATTAATAATGAAGCAGGAGGAACAATAATACAATATTAATAAAAGTAAAAGTTTCTGGTTTAGAAATAATATTGAGGAATATAACATATGCTACAATTAACTGGAACTTTCTTTTCAACATTAATTATGGAATTTATACTCACTAAGACAAACTGTGAGCTGTGACACAGAGAAGAGTCTGTATAAAACGGTTAATTGGTTTCAAATAGTGGCATTATAAACGTGATATGAAGAAGTATAACAAGTTATGCGGTTGTATTGTGGCGTGTGCTACTTATATCGACATGATATTTTGCAAATTAAGTATTTACTGTACGGTTATCAGATTTTAGTACGGTGCTCTGTAATTTTGTTTTCAAATACATTCGATTGCCCCCACTTGTGTTCTCGTTCACTACATTATTATGCAAATTTACCGGATTGAAAAAAGTTTAGATCCTATTCTATTATTGTCATCATAAAGAAACTAACTAATTGGCATATTTAAAAAAAGTATTGATATTGAAAATCTTTCAAGGAGAAACTCGCAGTGGCCAACATATGAAAAAGACAAGAATGATAACTGATTGTAGAACGAAATAGCAAGAAACAACCAAATGTATTCCATTAGAATAGTTGCCATTTCTACACTTCACCATCATTGGCGTGAACGAAAACAGACAACAAGGAAAAAAATGTAATCTGTACTTGATAAATTAGTCACATTACCTGATAAATCATTGTTTCTTTCAATTTTAATGAGAAGCAATGAATGACCAAACATACGTAACATAAAGTAATATACTAAGACTCCAACTAAATGATAAATAACCATTCAACCAAGAATTTAGCTTTAAGACCCAAATATAAATTTCCAACAACAATAAAAAATACACCATAAAATTAAATCTCACTCGTAGAGAAGTCAAATTTGATGGGTTAAAAACTGATGTAGTAGAAATACACTAATTTCTAAACAAAACATTCAATTAAGTCATTTGATAAAACGTATTACAATAAGATTGAAACATATTACATCACGGTAATGTCTGTTAAGGATCCTCTAGTGGATTACAAGTACAGGAAGAAAACTTTGAAAAAAAATTTTACAATTCGTGAATTTGGGAAATATAAGCAACATACGAATAAAAACTGTTTGGGACCATTTGTGGGTACTAATCTGAGTAAACAGGACCTAACTTTTGAGAATCGTGATCTGTTTGAATATCGACCTCAGTTTATATGATACAACATGAAAGCAAAATATGAGAATATGAGATATACTTATTGAAAGTATTAAGTATCATGGTAGTGAAGGTCTATCAACAAGATAACCAACCAATGACTATATTCAAGACACTGAACCAACTGAAGCAGCTACCACACACACGGTTGCAATGTAGAAAACAGAAGACAGTGACAATTAGCAAGAGATTTGGGAGACTGTTAATTGAAAGTCTTAACAAAACAGGAACAGTTCGGATAGACCAACAGTATTGGCAAATTAAATGCTAGCAAAACGGTTATAACCCGAGTATTTGGAATACACTAAAGACTACCTGATATTAGCTATTACTGATGTTCCAACATGAGCAACGGCGGTCGAATGAACCTGTTTCTTGGAAAGGTTTCCGAATAATACCAATCCAGGTGTATACGTATATCCCAAGAATGGTAAGTCCCGGACACACTCAGAACCTTCCCATTCTATATCTTCTATTTCTTCAATTTCTTCATTTATTGGTACAGCAGCAGCTTCTTGAATTGCTTTTCTTTTTAATACTTCGGGGGACAATGGTGATTTATGTGGATTAATATTCTCCTGATTTTCATCATTCAAAATTTCAGTATCTAAAGGCTTTACCAGCACAGTTTCGTCTTCTTCGTTTTCTTCATTGTTTAAAGTAGCACACTGAGTGACATATCCGTCTTGAACAGATGACTTTGTATAACGTATTGGGGAGAAAGTCTGATTCCTAGAGACATCCAATATAGCCTCATCACGAGCACGAGAACCACCGCCGGAAAAATTTGAAACATCGTCTAACTCACCAACTGGGGGCAAGTATGGAGGAGTGACTATACAAAACAAGACAACAGGAATCATAAATAATGAAAACTTAAGATGGGTATACAATTAAAACGTACGTTTAGGAATCCCGAGTCATATTGCTATCCAAAGAAAGCCACGAAACTCATCACCCTGTAGACAACTTTTGTTGTAACTCAGATTCAAATCATGCGTATTGAATAAAAGTAATGCAGAGAATTGTGGCTTATCGACAAAATCAATGAATGATCAATTATTGACAGAAACAGACTTGAGACAACCAGCAGTGATGTGCCACGAAGGGTAAAAGAAGACGCATAAGCGACTTATAATGGTAGAACTTTGATATTTACTGAGACAAAAAGACCTATATGGATTGGTGATTAAGTATGTGATTGGATGAGAGTGCACTGGAGGGATACATACTGAGAAATATGTCTGGGATTTTATCACCAACAACGTTGCCTGAATGTAGACTTAGATTAAAATATACAACCCATCAAATACAAAACATAAGTCATAAATTAAAACAAATAAACAAAATAAAACGTAAATTAAAAGTAAGCAACAAAATAACTAACCTTGTCTCAATGCAGAGAAATCAATATCTTTGAAAAATGGATGCATAACAACATCTTCATAACTTAACCGTTTCGATGGACTAATAATTAGTGATTTAATTAAATGAATAGCACAGTCTGTTATTTCAGCGGTTGCAGGGAACTTTAGTGTTTTCTTCACAAAAAAAAAAACATAAAAATAAAGCATTATTTGATTAAACAGATGATAATGAAAGAAGTTACCCGATAATCCATGATTTTCTGCATCATTGCATCATCATCTTCATCGTAGAAAGGCGTTTGTCCATAAAATAATTCATATAATAAGACACCAATCGCCCAATAATCGAATTCAGGGCCAACAAGTAACGGTTCTTGATTATGACGTCCACGTTGTCGTAAAAGTTCAATGTTCAGATATTCTTTTGTCCCAACCATTGTAGGACAGACACACTAATGTCAATCAAAAAAAAGAAAGAACAATCAGATTAACTCAGCACGTGAACATATGTTTATGTAATGGTGCTCAAAATAAAAATGACAGTCGATTAGAAAGTCACTAAATCTAAAACAGTTAAACATTATTGCCGCATCTAAACAAACTTCTCTAATCAACTAAATGACTGATTGATGAATAACTAAAGTGTGTATTATATTTCTTGTCAAAGAAATTCATATGCGGACTGAATGAAGGTTTACAATTAAATCTGGTTTCATAAAATACAGACGATTTAGTGGGTATGTGGGGGGAAGTATATTTATTTTGCATTCATCTTTTTTAATAGAAAAGGCGAAACGTTTAGTGAACCACAACATGTGTCGATGCATTAACAATACAAAAACCAGTTTAAACACGATTCAACTAGAGAAAAGATAAAATGAAAAATTTAACATTTTGAGTCGAAATAATTTATGAAAGAAATTGGTCTGGCGAAATCAAGTAAATGACATTCTTAGTTATTAGTTTGTATCTAACGTGACTAACTCACTCTGACTGGGTATTATTGAATGAGTGACAAAACTTCATAATTATGGTAAGGTGGTTGTTCTCTTCCATGTACTACCTATTATACCAAGGTGATGTAGCATATCACTCGAAAAAAATGAACAGAAACTAGCGACCCGCACGATGGTAACAGCTACCATACCACAGCAAATTACCATCATTCGTTGGTGTGTATGTGTGGAAAAACCAGCAGGTTGGGTGTCAAGTTTAGGCTACGTGGATTAACCAACGAGATTTTAAACCCGTGCCCCATTAACTTATCGATCAGTCGTTCGATACACGTGCTCATTATATTTAAACACCAATTAGTTTCGTTTTCTGTCTTGATTTAAGTAAGATGGAAATGAAAGCGGTCTGTCTACGAAATAACACAAATATATTCAGTGATTATTCATCGAAACACTTTGTTCACTACTTATTCAGGTTTGGTAAATATTTAAAAACATTTATTAAGATAAGTGATACATATGAGCTGAGACTATATATTTCTGTATACCTTGAGCAGTTGGTAATACAAAATAGCATCTATTCTACAGTTTCGTTTTATATTTCCATGAGATGTTTTTGCGGAATCAAGTACAGTTGTATCGGAATAGTGCTCACCGGTTCACCACAACTTTGTAAATGAAGACCCAGGAATCAGAAGTAACCCGGTAGATAAAAATGTGATCAACCATCGCTTAAGTGAAAACCAGACAGGTATCCTGATCTTCTGTTACTTTTAATAAAAGGCAAGGGGCATTTCTTATCCGAATGTAGTTTATTTCGGTTATGTCCTTATTTGAACTATATCTTATAGTACTTCTCACCATTTCCTGAATAATTTTCCTATAGTCTTCCGTCGCAAGCTGTGTCACAAATAAAATAATGAAAATCTCTTGTCCAATTTTATTTGTTTATTGTTTCGACTTTTTTAGGATAAATTGAAACAAAATTTTAAAGAATTGTACCACAATTACTTTGACAGTTGTCCAAAAACCAAGCGATAAAAAAAGCAAACTTATATTTAATACTAGAGTAGATGGAAAAGGCTACTAGCTATAAGAAAAGCAGAAACAATTATGATAATAAATAGTAAGAATAACAACTCTATATATTGTTACGGAACAAAGACTAAATTTATAGCGAATTGCTAATTAGTGAAAACCAGAGATATAGAGGTAGTAAATCATAAGATAACCACATAAAAACATGAATGGTCGATGATGATAAACAGCCTAGTTAACCAGGCATCGATTCTTATACTCGCCGAAATAAGACCTTTGGAATTGACTTGAAAAATGTAGTTCAATTCACAAATAGTCATCAAGGTATTTAAACAATCACATATAAGACAAAATTATACACTTGAAATTACTTTTCCATCAGCATCAAGCCTGATAGCCGAACCAAAATCAATTAGCTTCAGATGTCCACTCCTTTCAATTGCGAAATTTTCAGGCTTTAGGTCACTAAAAGATAATAAAGTAATTTTCAATTATTAGTCAAAATCAAAAACGATAAAAATGTCCTCAAAAATCATTATGATTTATCATTTATAGGAAGTCATATGGTGAAACTATGATGAAATTCCAAGTCATCTTTACCTAGAGAATTTGAGAAGATATAATCACAATAAGAATAAACTGCCAATAAATAAACATACCAATGAATATAGCCCATTTGGTGCAATGAATGAACGGCTTCCACAGCTTCAGCACAATAAAACTGTATCATTTTTGAATCCAACAAATGACCAACTCTGAAAGCAAAATATATCAAGAGACTTTAATCTGAAACAATTCAAGATGCTCGATTTTCAAAAATTCACTAGCCAAAAAGTGTAGCTACATGAAAATCAACAGTAGAGTCAGTCCCAACTTGGCAGTTAATCTGATAGTAGTGCAAGTTAGTAATTAAGTATACGTTGCCCGGTTTTAGCCACACTTCCGATCAACGCTAATGATATCACTCGGTTGTTTATATGGAAATATTTATAGCCACATGCGAACACTTAACATAGTGATTGAAAGAAGAAAGATTCAACCACCAACCCAGTGCTCTATTTAGACACTAGTTAGATGATACACGAAAGAAGTAAATATTAGTGACAAAGTGCGAATGATATCAGTTAGTCAGCCAGTTACAACATAGGACCAGGCATATATATCCATCGGTCCACGTTGCCACACCTCATTAACACAATAAGATGACTAGTATTGGAGACGTTTGGAAGAAAGTTAGGGCGGCCAAACCAAAACGTGGCATCAGTGCTTGAAGTCACTAACTTCTGGTCTGAGCCATGTTGGTAGATGCAGAATACTTGGTTGGGGTCCACGTGACTAGCGTTACCAGTGGTTGGAGATTCTGTGTGACATGGCTCAGAATCGATCACAATGGCTTATGTGTGTACACACTTTCTCTTCCCTTAAACCGTGAGATTGAAATCGCTTTATATCTTTCTTTCTACGAACTAATTCTTCCTGTATTATATCATTATATGCAATCTTTCTTTTATATATTACTACCATTGAAGTAACTACTACTATAGATTTGGTGTTAATCTTAATGCGCTAATGAGGTGGTAACTTGGACCGATGCATATATGTGCCTGGTAATACATTGTAGCTGACTGACATTTGAAATATCGAAACTCTTCCAAACCATTGATATGCTTGGAAACGAAATACTTCATTCTGTTGATAATCTCTATCTGAAGGAACTATAAGTTATTTTGTGAATAGATAACTTATTCAGTGTACAACCACAACTTAAATTTTACTACACAATCTATAAGTGCTTTTAAAGACATGAGAGCGGTTGATTTTTGCCGGTTGCTTACACAGCGGAAGGGTATTTCTCCTTGAGGGACCCCGAGGGAAGACTGGATTATCAGCAATCGTAGTGACTTGGGAACATGGTCACAAAGTCCAATGGATACACGGACTTTCTGTAAGTTTCTGATGTGGTCGCTTCGTGATTGGAAGGACATTAACACTGAAAATAAGAATCCATGGGATAAGGTGAAACGCGACATTTTCAGGGTCAATTATTTCTAACCGCTTTTTTCTGTTATGAGAAGGCAGCAACATTGTAGATGTTAGTTGCCTGAGGAAAATATCTTGCTGCTGTCACGCTTCAGTACAGTCAGCAGTATGACTTCGCTATTTGACCATGAGTTTGCTGCTTTTAGTCTAACTATTCTGAAATCAACGTGTTAGGCATCGTGAGACTTAAAGAAACATTTGTTCCAGTCAATATACCTCGATCGGATCACCACGATAAGTAAACCGGACAAGCACGTCAATGTAGCAGTCTTTTGTTAGAGTCCCATTTGTATTTTGCGTTGATCACCCTTAACAGCAGTATATAAGAACAAAGAAAGCACGTGATGTTGGTTGAGTAACTGTAAAACGAGGGTTTACTTGGGTAGTGTTCTTATCAGTCCCACAGAATTAACACTGGACTGTGTAATAAACTACGTTGTCCGGACTGAATATGTCTTTGTTTATCACCAAATATAAAGTCGACGTAAAGCGGCTTATTTATAATCGATTCCCAAAAATACAAACATATCATTCACTGTGACACGAGCAGTAATCATCTCATGTTAATATACGTGTAGATGCAAAAATGTAGAACGCGCATTTCTGCAATGAGCTAAGTTGTTCATTTATTTTTGCCTTCTATACATCCAATCAAAGCAAAAATATGAAATAGATTACTCCGATTAGTATGGTTTGTTTAATTTTAGAATTATACAGATATTTACATAAAATTCTGTTCCAATGCTTTACCTGCGGTTTTTTGGTAGAGAGACATTTTTATTTAGCCTAGATTAGTGTGGAGTTTCTATCTTAAGCTAAAGACAACTTCGTTAGCTAATTTTCATTGTGATGCACATATAACAAACAATAGTTACAATTTATGCTAAAATTGGTCAAGTAAGAAGGTCGCTCACTTGCTTAAGAATATATACAAATCGCCACCGGGTTCATAGTCCATCACAAGATGCAAGTGCTTTTCATCTTGAAATGCATAATGCAGGTGTGGAAGCCATGGATTTTCAATGGCAGTTGCTTGCGCTAACACAGTCCTTTCAAGCAGAATCTGAGAGCCCTCCTAAATAGGCAAATAATGCAAAGAAATTATAAGGATCACTAAATCAAGAAAACCTACCGGATCATGATGCAACCATGCTCCTTTAAACTGAGATTTCATTGCATATACTGAATGAGGTGGCGATACCTCACGTACTACACGTACTATTCCACAAGCCCCTCTACCAACACATGCGCCCAGCTTGAAATCAGACAATTTGAGACGGAATTCTGATAATCGAGTAATGATTGGCTTCACTACAAGTAAAAGAAAATGTCTGTAAGATAACTTTTATCAGTGATGTAAATTAATAATAAAGTACGTGGTAGATTACGGCTAATACAAACTTAACTATCCAACATCATAAAATATTATATTGCTTATGTGAATGACAGAAAAAACTTATAGATTATAACTACGGAGAAAAATTCACTAAAAGAAGTTTTCCTGACAATTAAACACCACGTGAATTGAAAAATACATTACCTCGTCTTCGGAAGAATTTCGCAGCCAAAACGGTAGGAGAGTGTTCGTATTCATCAGTCCCCCGATTTTCTGGATTATCCATACAGTCATGATAGATTTGATCAACCAAAGAATTCGTTACGAATAAACAGTCTAGAAGACCGTCGATCGATAACAAACACGGATCAGGATCAATCGGACGATTTCGTTTGTTAGCGGGTAGAATTTGATAATTATTCTGCGAACCTTTTTCGAATGAAAGACTGATTCCCATGCTGGGAGAAAAAAGAAGCGGAGGCCTTGTTAAGAGATCAAATAAGTAACTCGCACGTTGAGATGTCCAGCCCAAACGTAAAGCATCTTCTAGATAGACCATGCTGTTATTGCTATTTCGAGATTTCGTTTTAACCTGAAATATACATTTATCCTGAGGTGTCTCCACACCATCAGTGTTCATTTCAATATCCAAATTAGCTTTCTTATCTTTCCGTTTTGCATTACTTTTAATTTCGATCTGTAAGTGATGTGGAGTTGAGGAAATTAGGAAATTATCAATGGATTTTATCGGTGAAGCCATTCTTAACCTAAAAGTAAATCTTCCTTTATTAATGAAACAATGAATTTTAAAAGAAGATGACGCACAGAAAAATATTTATTTTTCATACATATTCGATGACAGTGTCATTTGGAAGGAATTAATTTAAAAATATTTGTAGGAAACGAGGCCGCAGTTTTAAAAGAACTTGATAGGTACAAAAGCTGTTTAGCAGTACTCAAACGTACTGCGCGTGTTAGCATTGTCGAAAGGAACTGTACATGATTGTCAAATTGCTCAGAAAGAAACTCAATTTTTACTGTAAAACGTGAAGTTTCATAGTTTGGAGATAAAAGGCTCTTTAGCCATAATTCTCGTAGCTGAAGGCCCATATTGCAAAGGTTATATATCTCTGTAAAAAGAAGCGAAGTAGATTCGGTTAATAGGCACACGGACTGTAATTCATTGAGCAAATTTTTATGATCTTGCACAAGATCAGAGAAAGTATTTGTTTCGGGGATATTGTGATTGATAGATGTAGTAGAATAAAATTCAGGAAGACACCACTTAGATGAAAATCGAGTTCGGATAGCTTCAATTCTGTGTGCCAAGAAATCATGTAGGCTTGTGAAGATAAACAACATTTTTACACGTAGTATGATAAGATAGTGGTTGATGGGGAAACAAGTTGAAACTCTTTTCTCTGGAGTGCTGAAATGTAAGTTTTCAAGACTCCATTTAACGTATTTAATCTGAAGGATAAGTAATACAAATTTCATTTAATTGAGATAAACGCTGAAATGAAACAAGTGATCAAAAGTGTTTAAACGACACTGCACAAATAAAAATATGAGAATGACCGCGTCAAATTCCGTAGAGAATAAATGACTAAAAGTTTATAAACTGCTAAAATTCCATCTTTACAAATGGCAAGACATAAACCACCATATAGCTTATGGCTATCGTTCCCCCCCCCCAAATAACAAGTCAGTCAGCTACAATGTATTACCAGGCACATATATGCATCGGTCCAAGTTACCACCTCATTAGCGCATTAAGATTAACACCAAATCTATAGTAGTAGTTACTCCAATGGTAGTAATATATAAAAGAAAGATTGCATATAATGATATAATACAGGAAGAATTAGTTCGTAGAAAGAAAGATATAAAGCGATTTCAATCTCACGGTTTAAGGGAAGAGAAAGTGTGTACACACATAAGCCATTGTGATCGATTCTGAGCCATGTCACACAGAATCTCCAACCACTGGTAACGCTAGTCACGTGGACCCCAACCAAGTATTCTGCATCTACCAACATGGCTCAGACTAGAAGTTAGTGACTTCAAGCACTGATGCCACGTTTTGGTTTGGCCGCCCTAACTTTCTTCCAACCATCATCAACACCGGACAACATTGTGCGTCATGGTATTCGGTGTCCAGGCATACGCAACACGTGGCCCAACCATCTCAGTCAATGAAGATTCAAAACCACATCAACTGATTTACCATCATTCCTTAGTACCCTGAGTCTAACCTCACTATTACTCACCCGGTGATCCTAGCAGATGCCAGCAATATTTCTAAGGCATCTGTGGTCAAATACTAGTAGCTTACGAGTGTCTTCTACTCTTAATGGCCACGTTTCGCAGCCGTAAAGTAAAATAGAACGAACTGCTGAGGAGTATACTCGTTTTTTTATTGATAGACGGAGATCTCACCTTCGCCATAGGTGACGTAAGTTGGCAAAAGCCAAGCGAGCCGAACCCGACTGTTGTTGCTACCTCGACGTCGTGGTCGGGCTTGCCCATCATGATGAAGCAACCGAGCTATACTGGCTGGAACAATCGTTCTTTAGTATTCTACCATACCAGACAGGTTGGCTGAAGAGCGGTAAGACTAAAAGCAACAAACCCAAAGGCGAAGTCATACTGCTGACTGTACAGAGGTGTGACAGCAGGTGTTTCCTTCAGACAACCAGCATGACAGAGATGCTGCCTTCACACTAAAGAGGGGTGGGGTTAGAAAATCTCGACCCTAAAAATGCACACCTCGCCTTATCCCATGGATATCCGTCTCCGCGGTAAGGTCTCAACAAGTACGGAGCTAACACGAAAATTACTTATAAAAGGTCATGTGTGACCGACCTAAAGCAGTTGTCCCTTGGGCACTGCGGTCACGCTTTCAGGTCACTAAGACCACCTCTAATCCATTTTCCTTTTCAGGTACCTCCAGAAGAATCCTTCCACAGTGTGGCCAAACGGAAAGTGATAACCGCTTTCATACCTCTAACAGCACTCAAGACCACTGTATTCATAATCAACCCCCCAAATGACAAGTAGAGACCCAAAGAAATTGATCAGATTAGCAATCAAATTTAAGCAAACCACCAAAAACGTTTTATGAGCGCTTCGCTCATTAACACCAACCGTTTTGGTTCCGTCACTCACACAAATGTACATCAGTGATGACAGATTTCAGTTAATACATTCAGCAATATTTCCAATTTATTTAGCACCTCTAATAAAGATCAAGAAGTTACCAGCCATGGGCAGGCTAGCCAAGTGAAAACAACCCAACTAAATGACTAATCCCCCTTCCCAATTTACGACCTAACATATACCCTTTATTCATATTGTATGGTAACTCGAACTGATCTATGTACATACGAAGTTCTACGTTGCGACTGACTGACCTTATAATGAATCTATGACAAACAATATCAATATTTAATTTTTGGCTGACAGAACGTGGCTCATAGGGATCAGTACAACTGCGAATAACCTGGCTACATACTTAGAGATCAACTGAAGGCAGATTGTCGTGAATAAGACACTGTAGTAATGGAAACAGTTGGAAATGTTAACAGCACTACTGCTTGTCATGCAAATAAGCTAGGAGGAAGACAAATGTTACACCACCTTTTCACCTTAGACGATTAGGAAGAACAATGTGGTATTTCTCCCAGGGAAAGTCACAGTGGAACTTGAAAATTTTAACAGAACCGTGCCTCTTATATAAATCGGGTCAGTCAGTCGCTCATCAAAAGAGCGAATAATAGATAAATCTGTAGAAGTGGGTAACCCATGAAATAAGAAATGCTCAAAATAAAATTTTAATAAACCCTTTGCTTGTACAGCCTCCAAGATAGCTTACGATGAATGCATACAGAATGTGAGCCAAGATAAAGATTCTAGCAAACTAGCTTATTCACTTTATAAAAATCAATCGGTTAGTCACATGCAAAGTAGAACCTAGCACATGCTCATAGGTCCAACTTGCCACATTACATTAGCAGTGAAATGAAATTATCAAGAAAAATGCCAAAACAATGTAGTAGTAGTAATAATATCAGTAGTACGAAAGAATAGGCACAAACAATATGATTTGAGAATGAATTGGTGAGAAAAGTATAAGCCAATACTAGGACTCAATAATTAAAGACCAAGTAAGTGCGTCTGTGCCATCTCGATCAATTTTGAGAAACACCATTTAGTGTCTCCAGTCACTAAAGATAATCGCATCAACCCCAACCTGGTACATGAACCTCCCAACAAACCTCAATTCAGCAGCTTTATAGACTAGTTCCGCATCTTGATTTGGGAGCTCCTAACTTTCTTCCAACCTACTACACCACCTAAAGTCGCTTATTGAGGCAGATGGTGGTTGGGCACACGTAAAACATCTTTATCACCATGAGCGACCAAGGTTCAGTACCGCAAATAAACTAGCCATAATCCCACACATGTTTCACAATCCGAGCAAGTGTCACTGTAATTTGGTGGCTACTAACGTTAGACCTTAAAGTACTTTGATGTCCAAATAATTGTTCGGTGCACAAAGGTAAATCTGTAATACATGATCTTGTGTATTCATAAGACGAACCAATCATAAAAAAATGTGAGGACGTTCGTATACGAACCTAGCATCCTAGTCCGAGTGAACTAAACTAAGATATGACCAAGGTTTCAGTATTTCACGAAAGCACAGCTATAGATTCTTTGCGATTAATCAGTATTTAAGTATATTTGATCAAAAGTATGAGTCGTTTATGTGACGTTTGATTTATCTGGTGGTGAATAAGCTGCCCACCGCTGGATTACATACAAGAATTACATTTACTTCACTTTTTATTCATGAGAATATTTCTAATTTCGTTGGTGAAAGCTAAGGACTATATACCGTATACAAGCATATAAAAAGCCATATCCTAGTGAATAGTTCAACATACCTGAAGCAAGAAAATGAAGACATCGTTATAAATTCCAATGCTGTTTTCATCCAAAATGATGTTCGCTGGCCAGTCCAGGTGATAATTAAGTCTTAAATTACCAATCAAATCAAAAGTCAGTTCCATAGGTCGATCATCAACTGGTTGATCCATATTAAGGAGATCAAATGTGAAGAATGGAGACTCTAGATACAGGAGTGAATGAGATACATGACGGTTCCTGAAAGCACCACTTAACTGACTCTGTAGATTAGCGGTGAGCTCAACAAGGTCCAGCTTCTTGGCTCTTGAAAATGCAATATTCCTGAAACACTGGCGAGCGAAATCGTTCATATTATCACCAGCACCGAAAAGATACACTGCTCCCGCAACAGCTAGGCAGTTTCCTACAGTTCGCAAACCATTTGGCCCACGCATATGCGAGAGAAGCAATAACTTCAACAACTGTTGATTAACTGACATTCTTCGTTCACAAACAAAACGTTTTAATTGTGACTCCAAGGATTTGAGTGTGGTCCTTGATTCATCCATTTTGTAACAATTTTTCGAGACACAGGATTCTTGGTGGTTGAGTTTAAGACGAAAATGTTCGCTCAAGAGAGAATCCAAAAAGATACAAATAGAGTTTGAATCAACTGTTTCGAGGAAGGAGTAGTCCCCAATTTTTTCACAGACCGCAGTGAGTAAGAAGATAGTTTTAAGACCATCGACTACCTCATCCATGATAGGAAGAAACATATACGGTACGTGAGATGAGCCTAATACATTGTTTCGCGGCTTAATGGCATCAGACCAGAATTTTGGATCATTAGGTGGTATATTAAAATTTATATCAGCGAACAATTTTACCAGTGGGTCGGTGAAAGCTGCAGACCCTGAAAACAGCTGGACTAGTGAGGAAATGAATGGATGAAATGTGATGATGAACATAGAACGTAGTACTTTAACGATGTACTGGTCAAAGCCACAGTCTTCTAGTAAATCTGAAGTATGATGTAGTGCATCCAGCAAAGTTGTGATCGTACTTGTCTCTCGTAAGTTATCAAGGTCGTTTTTAATGACATCTTTTATGATTTTCGACAATATCTTAACACGGTTACACCAAGGGATCAAACAATGATAAAGACTGATCATAGTGAAAATGCCTGGATTACGGCTTTTACTTTCCATCTCATGCAAGAACTCATCAAGTTGAGACAAAAATCCATTCAAGCAACTGGCAAAAGAGAAGGCACAAGCATGAGATACGCAGTCCATTTTGTTGACTACAAAATGGATTACAAGTCTGATGAACAGTATATGATTATTCCAATCAACGAACTTCCCCAGCAATGAATCAAGAGCATTATAAGATAAATGGCTAACAGATACAAGATGTGGTTTGCAACAAATATCTACCATTTGGTTTTCACATAATTGCATAACAAAGCTCCCCCTGGCACCAAGCAGGACCCAGATAATTTCACGTATCAGTTGATACTCTGTTAAGTCATATCTTTCATCACATTGCCCAATGTAAGACAACCAACGATTTTTCAGACATTTATCTTTCAAACTAGTTAAATACCGACTCCACCAATACTCAGGCTGCAAGTTTTTGTAGATTAATTTAGATGGGAAGTTATAACTGGCGAAGATATGTTTGTTTGACGGAAGTTGATCCCAGCGACTTGGATATGAGTATTCAGAAGTATAATCCTGTTCCAGCTTTGTAACTTCTTCATTTGAAGAGTTGGAGTCACATGTTTCAACTGAAGATGAGTGAAATTGGAAGTTAATGTAATTCCTGGTACACATAAATTCAGCAGAAACTCATACGAAGCCTGATTCGAGGATTCAATTCATATTTGCACGTCCTAGAGATCACAAACAAAAATGTAGATGAAATAAACAAGTCATATCGCTCGTAGAATCGACACCTCTATATACACTATAATGCTTCACAAGCATTAAAAAAATTAACATACGAAACTTTTCTTCAGTACAATATTATTCCATAATGAATATTATTGTTTATTATCTCCACATTTGTCAAGGAGAATTTGTGAACCATATGTTATAAGCTGCGTCTAGGTAGCATTATTCCCTACCAAGTATACAGCCAAAATAATCGTCAAGTCTTTCTTTTAATGACTCAGCGTGGGGTGACATTACTATATATTCCTGTAGACAGTCCCTTTATTCACCTATTTAAACTGCGAAAATTAGCATGGTATGCCATACTACCTATTCCTTGCAACAACTAGTCGGCTTAGATCTCATATTTCCGGACTCATTGACTTTCAAATATATCCTTAAATTTCTTTACTCCTGAATTCCGGTTAGCTGGATTTAGTATTACATTTTCAGTTTGGATAGAACAAGAGGCTAGGTGACCTGTGTAAGGTCTCTCGGTTGGTCCAACTTTCTTAAGAAAGTATTGACAGATGGGGCTTCAATTACGTTTTGAAGTGATGAGTTCCATCCCTTGGTGACTCGATGGAAAAGTGGGTAATCAGCTTATAAGTAATTTGTTCTGGAATTCCAAACATTTTCAAAAGCATTTTCAGGAACTTACAAATTCTGGGCCGTTCGGATAGACCCTGCAAGTTAGTTTGAAGCTTCAAACTATTACCTTTACTTTTTATCGCTCTTTATGCACGAACATTGTCAGCAAATTATTAAACTGATGGTGTTAAGAGACTAGGAAGGTCATTTGTACAGGAGGAACAACACTTGCACTAAAACTGTTCCCTGAGACATTCCGCTGATCAAAGGTTCTCGGCTAGACGACTGAGAGTCCAACTATACCATATGTTGACGCTCAATAAAAGAATCCTTTATCCACATAAATAGGTTGACTCCGACCCTGATATCACCTACATAGATAACGGACGGTTGTCGGTAGCTTTGTCAAATGTCCTGCTGAAGTAATTGTAAGCTACACATATAGGTAACTTATGACCTTTAAAGTTCAAAAAACTTTCACGGGCTTCTCACAAGTTTGTTAAGCATGAATAACCTGTCATAAAGCAAAGTTGCTTTTCAGAAAGAATCAGATCTTTGTCTAGATGATTAACTAACCCCTTAAGAATAATCTTATCTGAAATTTTAACAAAGGCGCTGATTGAGCTTACGGGTTGATAGTTCTCAGGTTAGTGTTTCGTAACTGTTTCGAAGACAAGATTTACTATGGGGTTCGCCCTGTTGCCTGTTACCCGCGTGGATGATCTGTGTCGAATTATTGGGGGCCTGATCGAGTTAGACAGGAATGGTGTAACCAACCAGCTAACGTTGAATTCACACCTTAAGGTCAGCACCTAATGTGGATAACCCTTTCGTCGTATCAAGTTACTGTGGATGCTTTGAAGATCGTAAAACACAATCGACGTTATTACAGAAATATATTAGTAAGAGTTAATACAAGTAAGAGATTGCGAACACCACCGCATGTGTCAGTTCATGGAGTGCGATCAATTGATGCACGTTGGTTGTCCTTGTATTTGACGAGAGTCCGTGAACTGATCAACATTTGGTGACCCGATCGCTGAAAGATTTGTATAAAGTGCAGTGACATTTCACTGGTCCCACATAGTTCTTAGGTAACCTGCGTTGGGCTACGGAGAGTTTAAAACATATGTTTAATGGATTCGCGATAAAATTTGCTAGTTCCTTCGGTGATTTAGAATGCGATTCATCGGATCCCATGGATTTACATATACCAAGCAGATTTGCCAGACCAAAACACCGAGTTCTTTAATGCTCAGTTTCCAGAGTGTGTGTCGAGCCAAAGGTTGTGCATACATCGCTGAGGTAGTTTTATAATAAATGAGCTTCATCACAATTTTCGTCCACGAATGATGAAGTGTCAATGTCTCCCCATTAATCTGGAATAGTATATCTACCCTTATCTTGTAGAATTATGGTCCAACTCGTTATTAGTTCCATTATAATAAACCTTATCCTGAAATTGTAGATATGTCATGATGTAACTGCCTAATCTCTAAGATCTTACGCGGAAGTCACACCATTCTCTACACTAACTCATCGTATCGTAACAATTATTAATATGTCTTGAGTTTCTAAAGAACATATTTAAGCTAAAGATAGGATAATATATTTAATGTGAGGCAAGTTATACATAATGATCATGCTTGCAAAGCTGAACCATGCTATCTCATGGAATTCAACAAATTATTCCCGCCTTCTGAATTTTTGACCTTCTCTTTGTGTTAATTGTTGAATATACATCTTCCCAGTTATCTCATGTTCAGTTTTGAGGACTGTATGGTCAAGACCAATACTAATATCATCTCTTTTGTTCATGTTCAGGGAAGGCTTGAATTGTGTAAGTTTGATTTGAACAGATGTTAGTTGTCAACCTAATCCAGACACTTGAGTAGAGTGTATCAAAGAAACATGACTTCAGTTTGCTTAAAAATTTTCAAGATTAATTGTTCTAACATTACTATTTCATCCTTCATCAATCGGTACGAAAGTCAGAAGTATTCTGTGACCGTTTGTTGAGAGCGAAAATTAATGAAACAAAAGAACGCACAAAATATGTAATATCAAGCCTTTGGTGGGTCTTCATCTAGCCTAAATGTGAGTTCCGTTTTGAGAAAACATAAAGAGCAGCCTACGTCGAAATATCTATCAGTGGTTAGAACAAGGAAACACCGAGCTTATGACACTAAAAGCACAGTAAACTTAGTAACGAAAGTATTCGGCAGAAGTAGCACTGACACAAGCGTAAGGTAAATCTGGTGATCAAAACTAGATGTAATTGGCGCAATTTTTTGAATTTATTACACGAGTGAAGCGGTTCGCGTCCAGCTAGAAAGTATTCCGTGTAATGAGGTGAAATAGATTTCAGAGTGAGGTGGGGCTGAAAAATGAACGAAAGGAAAAGTGGGTCGACGTACAACAAGCGCACACAATCTGTTTACATTTATTGATGAAATCAATGGACAACAATCAACAGTGATATAAGCCTCAAATTAAGACAGCCTTGAAAACGAAGCTAGAAGCAGATAGTTTAACCTACTATAAAGAGTACTGTTAAAAACAGGTAGGAAGTGTATTTTTTTCGTTCCTCAAGATATTCAAGCTTTCAGGTGTATGTATTGTGGCTATGATACAAATAAATCAAAATCATGTACACAGATTAGCAGAATGGAAGCATTAGGAATCCATTGATACTGAAAGCAGTAGCTCGTAGTGCAAAAGCTTTCATTCCGGCAGCAACTATTTACACCATTTTAAAAACACTGAAATATTCTATTGCTCACTAACGACCTTTGAGCTGTTCTGAAATATGGTTACGATGCTTCACCGAAATTCTTCAGCAACCAGTATTCGTTGAAACTAACGAGATTAACACCAACGTTTAACGTCTATAAAGCTGTCTGTTTTCGAAAGTTAATCAAATACAAGTCTGCAGAAATCAATGACGTTTTTCAAGCCATCCATCAGTAAAACACTTTTTATACTCGGAAGTTCTGATTAAACCTCTTAACATTAGGATTTGGATGAAAGTAAATTAATAGGCATATTCGAGCTCCTCGAAAAGATATTGGATATGATAAATGGAGCTCTCTCTTCTTGGGAACCTATAAGAAATGAAGTCCCCAAGGCACAATCCTTGGTTCTCTTCTCTTTTTACTTTATGTAAATGAAATACCAACTGTACCAGAATCATCCCTTCTACTCTACACCGATGACACAAAGATTTGGAAATCCATACACAGTATGTCAGATAGAATAGTATTACAGGATGCTCTTAGCTCATTGGTGGCATGGATAGACAGATGGTCACTAGAAGTGAATCCTAACAAGAGTATGGTGATGTATTTAAGTAACTGTGATGAATCGTATGTGGGTTCGTGCTACCCAAAGTAAGAAACTATAAAGATTTCCGAGTCATACTAAGCAGTGATCTCAAAACCACCAGCCATTGTAAGGCTGCTGCTGCAAAAGACTTCAGGGTATTATGGTCTATTCGTAGGTCTTTCCAGTATTTAGATGATGAAATGTTTAGATTATTATACCCGATTTATGTGCGACCACATTTAGAATATGGGATTCAAGGAGCGAGTCCTTGTTTTAAGTATAAAGCAGATATGTTTGAAAGAGTCCAACAACGAGGTATGTTGTGGCTCGTGAATCTGACTCCAAGATCGTATAAATGGTTGTTATCGCTGATTCTCGAGAATGGCCATTCTCGTTAATTGACTTATTTAATTCGGTTATTGGCTAACGCGATTTAAGTCGACGATGATAAACGAGAATCAGCGATAACAACCATTTATACGATCTTGGAGTCAGATTCACGAGCCACAACAGGTACTAAGATGGTCAAAGGTCTATCTGGCCTATCTTATGAAGACAGACTGGTACAAGTTAACTTATTTGCGTTATCATGCCGTAGAATACAGGATGATCTAATATTGGCTTATCGTATACTGAACGATGACCTTGATATTACCATGTCTTATCTTTTACTTCCGTCTGGGACTGATCATTTGAGAGGATATTCGAAGAAAGTTCAAAAGCCGAGATCAAATCGTTTACGTCTGGAGTTTCGTTTCTCGCACCGAGTAGTGAATTACTAGATTCCCTATCACAACACGTAATATCAACACCTTCCGTTGATATATTCAAAACGAGATTGAACCTCCACAATATTACAAACTGCAAGGAATAATATAAGTCGATAGATCTCCTATCCTTATTACTGAAGGCTAAAGATGTTACTGTGACCTTGCAGACGTAGTAACTGATTAAACGCATGTTTAAATATGGATTTTGTTCCAGAT